GGTTAAAAGGAAGAAGACACCAACTAATGAAGGCTTCTGCTAAAATATCTCATCCAGTATAATTCTAAATCAGGCACCAGAACTGCTCTGTGTTTGCAAGATGTTAGTCTAAATTATATCCAATCCAATCTATAAATGGATACATTTCAATTATTTTTATTTTGTATTGATGGCAACTGAGTACATATAGTGCTATTTAAAGAGTAATCCGATCACCCCTGGTCAGGTGGCTCAGTTGGTTGGAGTGTTGGTACGTACACCAAAGGGTTGTGGGTTCAGTCCCTGGTTAGGGTAAATACCTAGGTTGCGGATTTGAGTCCCAGTCAGTGTGCGTACAGAGGCAATCAATTGATCTTCCTCTCGCACATAGGTGTTTCTGTCCCCATAAAATCAATAAAATCATATCTTCAGGTGAGAATTTTTTAAAAAAGTAATCTGATCACCACACAGTAAGAGTAACTTTGTAAAAGAACTGAAGTCGCCATGAAAGCACCTGAACCCGGGGTTTCCAAAGATTGGTTCACATGCCATGGTCATATGTTGACATTATAGAATATAGAATTATAAGGATATTGTCACTTGCTCTGTCTTTTTATAATTTTTCAAGGTGATAGTACATGCCTGAATTACCTTTTACTTTTCATTAAATCTTTTTTTTTTTTTTAATTTTAAGGAAACTCTTGCTCTATTACAAGTAAAACTTTCCAGGAAAGCCTATATGACATTGCTGTTACGTGAGTGACATTTGCAAATATTGAGTATAATTCAGTTTCCTTTGAAATTGGTCACAGTGTTTCTACAAGAAATTCAGTTTAACATGTAGGTTGTAATGAAGCAGCAGATAAATCACTCAGGTTGTTTTGAAATATTAAATAAGGCCCCCATATTCTCTTACACTCTTTATCGTATTACTGTATAATACACACAGTTAAAGTTAGTATATGTTTAAAGGTAGTATATCATATTTCTTTTCAAAATTAGTACAATAATTTCATTATTTTGTTTGACTTATTAAATTTATTCATTGCCAAAGTGTCGGCAAATGAACAAACACATCCTTAAAAGAAAAAAAACCAAAAAAACCCTACAGTTCTTTTTCTGGAATAACACTTCCTGGTCCTTCAGCAAGCAATTATTAGAATAACTCCTGCATTCCCTTAGAAATTACATGGTTACTTGCAAACAGGCTTCATCCAGAATTTTTAAACGCAGATTTCTAGGAGTTACTTAACTTCAACTGGGGTTAGAAGAAACTACATTTTAAATTGTAACCATGGTAAAATGTGGCATGTTAGAAATCCTTTCAATCATTGATTTACTGCTTATGTAGGAAAACACTTTTAAACAACACCCCCAGTACTGACAGAAGCTCTTCTTTATTGTCAAGGTGTCCGAATACTACATCAGGTAGCCACTAACCTTAAAAGTGATTTATGATTTTAAAAACCCAACTAAAAATTAGTTTAGTATTACCATTTTTAAAACTACATGAAAAGATCTTTTAAATTATATATATTTTTTCTGGTCTGTGCAATACAACCCACAACAGAGCAGTTAGCTCATAAAAAGAACATACATTATGAGAATGTTCTAAATTTTCACATTTTGTTTATATTTTATTGCTTTTACTTGAGTTAACATGTGGTATATTTTTACAAAGCCTGATTGTTCACATATTTAATTTCTACGCTCATAAAAGCCATATATTTTTAATACAATCCAACCAGCAGGAAACAATCAGACTCTACTAAATATTTTAATATTAGCCTGAAGTAGTGAAGTGAAATATAAAAGGGAAAGTGGTTTTAGAGCCTGTGACATTTCACACTATTCCATCAGTAATAAAGATATATAAATCAACTTTTCTGGAAGGTAATTTGGGAATTTTAAAATCCTAATACCAATGCTATGGAATAATTAAAGAAACATGATACATAAAGTCAACAATGAACATAACACAGAGCATATTTCTGTCTTTTTTTACTAACCCCTTTCTATTATAATGCAAGAAAATTTTAGTTTATAAAAACAATACGATTATAACACAAACAGGAATTCTGGTTGCTTGTTAATTGGAATTCTGTATTGTTCTTACACCTAATATGCTCCCATATATAATTGCTGATAAATTTATTGAGTCCTAAATTTTAGGCATTTTTAAGAAATCACATTTCTGTTTATAAAAGCACTATTTTTACATCCTCCTTTTTCTCCTACTTGTAAATTATTTTATTTTTTAGTGGTAGTTCTGTAATCATCCTAATTATGCATTGAGTTGAGGGGTACCGACCATTTCTGTTATACTTTAAAGGAGGGTTGATGTGAGGAAACTGGGGAGGAGGAACAAGTTGAATGAACAATCCCAGAGAGAATCACACTCAAGATTTTTAACTCCAGCTTTGAAGGCAGGGTATATTTGAGGAACGCAAAAGAGCATAAAGACTTTTTTTTTTTCTTGTTAATAAAGGAGAATCATCTAAGTGGCCTCTTCAAATACTCCTTTCTCATATTAGTCCATAAAAAAATCATCAGTAGACATTTTGCATACAATCTTCACAAAAGATATTTTGGGAATATATTCACATTGAAGAAGAGTCTCATCTAAAGTTATTGTATGGAATTAGTTTGGGCCATAAGAAGATATAAACAGAAAAAAAATAGCATTTATAATAGAAACCAAGTAATATCTGAGACAGGCAATTTCAAAGCTTTAAAGTCAAATTTTTGAGCAATGTCAGAGAGCAGACATTTCAGTGAGGCTCAGCCCTTTACATGGGTAGAGCCTGTGTGGGCTGGGTAAGGGACCAGAGATAGAGATACTTGGGAGAGGACAGAACAGAAGTTTCTGTTGTGAATTTACAGAGAGGAATATTTGATAATTGCTACTCCGCTTTTTAACTCTTTAATGGCTTCCTAATTTCCTAGATATAAACATATTTAACTTCCTACATTCAACTCTTTACTTCTCCGAGCACTCACCACTTCCTAAATACAGCCTATACTCACACCCTAATCTAACCACTGCAGTCAGTGTTAGAAGCCTCCGCAGCTTTGAATATGCCCCATGTTTGAAATGCTCTTTATCTCCAAGTGTATCGAGAGAACTTCTATTCACCTTTGAAAGTTAGTTAACGTGTCACTGATTTGAGTCAGAAATCTTGTCTGACCCCTTCAGATATTTGTCCTTTGTGTCACCATTATGAAGTAAATTCATTCCTGCTGAATAAATGAATGATTAATGGAAGAATATTTGCTTAGGTATTACAGGTAAGGAGATCACCAATAAATAAATAAATAAATAAATAAATAAATAAATAATAAAATAGGACATTTGCAAATAGAACAGTATGTTTCAGTACTGCATTTATTTTACACTGTTAAGGGTATTCTTTGGGTGTACGATGATAGGAATACTGGATGATAGAACAGATAAAGGATTAAAATAACAGTTAAGGTAATCTATGTATTTGAATCCATTTGCTTGTTTTATTTAAAAAAAATAGCACAGAAGATATCTTATTTTCTCAAATACTTTAGTCAACTGACCTGTATTCTTCTCTGAACATCTCTGTTTTTGACTGAACCACTTGAATTCCATCATTACAAAGGTTATCTAATCTGAGCTTTCTATCTACTCACTGAAGCATATATGCACCTTAGGGCCATTCTGCTAATGATCTTTGAGATGGCAGGAAAACTAAGTTGCTTTGTTAGCTAACACTACAAAGTTGTGAGACTCGCAGTTAAACAATGCATACATATATAACTTCTTTACAATAACAGCTAAAAAGTACTGAGCTCTCACTTTGTGCCAAACACTGGTGTAGATACTTTACATGTACTAACTTCTTGAATCTCAACAATTTATGAAGCAAGTAGTATTTTTATGTCCATTTTGTAGATGAGGAAACCAAATCACAAGCAGTTTCCCCAGGTCATTTTGCTAATTAGTGAGCATTAGAGAAAAGTAAAGCAACAGAAATGTATTTCAGAAAGCGTGACACTTCTTGTCACAAATAAACAACACAAGTTCTACAGTGAATTCTTCCATATTTACATATGCTTTTAGCTATTTTTGAAATAACTAATCCTATTTCTGAATTGAATTCTAATGTCAATTGAATAATTCCCACATATGGGGAAAAAAGAATAAAAAATCAAACTTCTTTTCTCATTTTAACAGATATGTAGATATAAATATATGCTCCTTCACCATAATCCTAAAAGAAAGACTTCTATAGTTCAAGAAAGCAAGAAAATATGATTAATAAAATTTTAATTAATACTAATATTAAAACCATACTTTAGGTACACTTCAAAGCAAATTGAGACCTTTTTGTATAACCAGCATGTGTCATTTATTCATTGCTCTTTTGTACAGTTTGGAGCTCAATTATTTCAAAACTTTAAAATGCTAGTAGTTACATTATTTTGAACACTACTTGTATATTACCCATATTTATATTTGGAGCCCTAATATGGACCCTGGACTTTCATTCTAAGTATAAACTGCCAGTTGGACCTCTGCAGCGATCTCCCACCATTACCTAATTTTCAATTATCCAAAAAAAAAAAAAAAAATTCGCTATCATTACCCAAATATAATTCACATCTCAGATCACTTTATTTATATCATTCGCATAATAATTCTTCTAATTCTCCCAAGATCCCAGTGTGAAACCTTGGAGCCATGCCTGCCTTCATTCACCACCACTACAGACATCGAATCGCCATGCCCCTTCTCCATTTACTTCTGTATTCCTTTTCTTTCCCAGCAGATCCTACCACAGCACCATCAGAAATGCGCATTGATCCTCCGGAAAAACTGCTTTGACACATCTGTTCCTTAAACACTTTAAAGGAATATGGCCAAATAAATTATATCTCATTATTTAGTCTGCTTTGGGTATTTGCACTTTGGCCATTTCTTATTCTAAATATGCACTTGTCTATACTCTCCTCACAATTACCCTTGTGTTCATCATTTGTGCATCTGTTGGGGGGGTGCCATTACCAGTGATCAGCAGCTGTCCAGATACCAAATAATTATGCTTCTGAAATCTTGATGTCCATTCCACACGCAGAGCAATCAAGCTGCCCTACGTGTGCCGCTCAGGTCAGAATCTCTTTCTTCTTCCATTCCATCGTAATCGCATTTGCAGCTGTTCATATATATATATACATATATATATATATATATATATATATATATATATATATATATAAAATTTTCATTGTCTAAAGTGCCCTCCCTCTCCTTTCTTGCATTCCCTTGAACATCATTTTGTTCTCAGGGCTTACCTTAAACCTAAACACTCCACAATTTTCTCACAGCCATGCTATCACATCTTAGCTCCTTTCCCACTTATTACCCACGTCACTCATTGGGAACTCTGCATATGTTGCTCTCTACTTAAATTCGTGTTTCTACATGAATATCCTATCCCCTAGACTGGGCTACAGGGTTTAAAAGAAGGATTAAAATGAACTGCTTAGCTTTTTACATTGTAATTTTATTCACAATAACTATTGTTACTGAACAAAATGGAATTTAGCTGCCTGCCTCTGAATATAAACGTTAACACAAACATTGGTGGGGAAGGAAAAAAGTTATTATTAAAAAGTTGCCCAGTTAGGGAGATCACGTGACTTCCCAGCTACAAGCCAATCTCTTCTGCAAAACAGCAAGAAGCCAGCGACCAGAGTCAAAGTCTAGACACCCCACTTCATTCTTATCTGTCTTCCAGGGGCCCAAGGCTGTTATAAGAACGGGTCTCGACTCTTCAGCTCTCTCTCCCTGGACTGCACACTGGTGAGGCTGGCGTCACCGCCGCCTTGCCGCAGGTTTCTCCCTCTCCCAGGACCAGGATGCACTGCCAGATCTCTGGAGCTGGTCGCGCGCGGGGCTCTGTCTGTGGGGCCTCAGTGTCCGAGGCTGCTTGCCCCCCAGGGCTGGTGAATTTTCCGGCCCACACATCTGTCCGCTGCTCTCAGTGCGAGAGAATGGGAGTGATCCAGGGAGTGGTCCAGGGAGTGCGCAGCTGCAGCCTGCTGCAGGCTGTCCCTGGTGAGGCCCGCAGCCCAACCACCATCCCGGCGACCAAGGGGAAAGCAAAAAGGGGTCGAGACTCCATGCCCTTTGTTTAAATCATTCACTCCCAAATTCTGCTGCTGTGGGAACATCCAATTTGCCTGGCAATCCAGGCTGGCATCCATCACTGGCATCCGCCTGCTCGGTGTCTCTGCTCCTCCTCCTGCTGCCACGGTCCAGAAGAGGGTAGTGGGACACAGCATCTCTGCCTCGGGTGGGACATCACAGGCTGGTTCGTTTACCCTCACCTGGGGTGCAAAGTCACGACCCTGCTGCGGCTTCAGTCTGCTGCCTAAGGGTTTCCTGCAACTCCTCCTCCACTTTGGGTAGTGCAGCTTTTTACACCTCCTCAGGGATCTCTTCTCCCATCCTCCACCTACTGGGCAAGATCCCCCCTGTTACACTATGATTGATTGAAAACTTTGGGGATATGATTTCCAGTTATTACACTGGATGTTCTTTTATATTACAGTTTCCATAAAGGTACAGCATGCTAAATGAAATTTGGATTGTAGAAGTTCTCCAGGGATATTATCTGCAGTCACTCACTAACAATGCTCCTTACTTATAATTGTTGGGTACTTTATGTGACCTCTCCGTTCTGTCTTAGTGTTAGTGCTGATTTCATTTTTATCCTTGCCCCAAAGATATGTTTATTGACAGAAAAGCAGGAAGGAAGAGAGGGTGAAGGAGAAAAAGAAGGAGAGGAAGGGAGAGACAGGCAGACAGATACATCGATAGGTTGTCTCTCATATGCACCCAACTGAGGCTTGAACCCACAACCCAGGTATGTGCCCTTACCTCGAATGGAACCTGTACAGGACAATGCTCCAACCAACCGAACCACCTGACCAAGGGTGTGCTGATTTTTTCTCACCTAGATTTTAGGATTGTTTTTCTGCCTTCAACCCTTTTCTTCTCCAATGTGTTTGTTTATTGAGTATTACTGAGTGCACATGGTATGTCTTTCTTTATATAACTATCAAAGTTATTTTTTCCTAAAATGTAATGTTTGCTCAGTTTATATCATGTTTCACCTAAAATTCTTCAATGACTACCAGTTTTCAATAGAAAATAGTTCTAACTGCTTTTGTATGCATTTCCCTGACTTTGATAATTCCCTTTACACATTGTAGTGGCCAGATTCAATCACATATTGTGCTGACCCCTGTATGCCAGAGTCACTTGAAAACTTTCTGCTTTGCTAATTACAGCCTCTCCTCAGCAGCTCATGCTTCTGTGAAATCCTACTAAACTTTCTGTGCTTCACTCCAAAGTTACTTGTTACTTTTGTTGAGTTGTCTTCTTTTTGGCCAAAGTAATTTGCTTGCCCTTCTATGTTAATACTTCATTCACATTTGTCATGCACACATGCAAGTACTTTTCCGGTATAAACTGTAATACTGTTTAGGTCAGTTGCTGTGTAAAATATCTTTGTACCCTCATTAAGGCTCCATCATTTTAGAGCAGTAGGTGTACAATGTATATATACTAATTTATTCTTTATCATTTAATATAGGGTTCTATTTCCCAGTTGGGGTTCTGATATGGAATATCTCAATTTTGCATTCACCTAGAAAGGGAATAGGAATACCTTCTATTTGGACTGTAGAATGTTTCTCTGAACTAGCTCATTCAGTGCTTTCTCATTCTCATGCCTTCTCTCACTAATTTTTTTTTAAAGCAATACAGTTTAGTAGTGCTTAGTTGGCATTCTGACTTTAGCTGACTGTTGCAATAGAGTCAGTTTGTGAAAAATTTTAAAGTTGGTTATTGGGAGACTTAATATGCAATTTCTTGAGACCTTAGAGTCATCAAAGACTATTTCTAAAAGTGATAGGATTCTCCAAGTTTTAATGGGTTTGTATATGAGGTAAAATGTATGTATTTACTGTGAGGCATTGGCCAAGCTCATTGGGATAATGCCATCATTTTTAGAGAGCACAGGTGAAAAGAGAGCTTTATTTTTGTGCCTTAGCTGAATCATTTCAGAGCCCTTCAAGCCATCCCTTTGTCGTGTAATATGCCATCAAATTCACTCCTACCATCATCACTGTGCCTAATTAAAGCTGTGTCAAGTAAAATGAGAGAAATTGAAATTACCTACAGCAGCAAATGATTAAGATATTTTTACATTTACAAAAATAATTTATGTATCCTTGAATCAATCTAGAAAAACACTAGGGTCTTAATGTTGTTTCCTTCAATTTTTTTTTAATAACTACCAACACACAGTCCAATGTACACAGTATAACATTTAACTATGGACTAGTTTGCTGCTAGATTCATGGCTCAGTTGAAATATTGTGTTAACAGGAGATATCTCCATAGTTAAACAGAGAGCCTTAGTAAACTGTCCCTCAACATAACATTTTTAGGTTGGAGCATCAAAACTAATGGGCACTGATCATACTTTCTCACAATCTGATTTAGGACTTCATTGAATTGAATTGAAATTTAAGAAACACAGAAGATACATATAAACATAACAATACCAGATTCCTATGAACATTTATACCTCATACATTATGACTTCAAATATGCTCTAAACTTGAAATATCATATCTACTCAGATTTAGTACAGCTCTACAGGCTTAAGGACACATGACTGCCCTCACTTCAAAGTCCTGTGGCAAGTAATGGATGTCCAAGGCACCTGTTTCCATTCAACTTGGCTACAAAGTGAGGGTTCCAAGTGGAACCCTGCCCTCTCCCCACCTTGCTCTGGGTTCAATAATTTGTTCCAATTTTTGCTTGTGTTTATTAATTTATTATAAAGGGTATTATAAAGGGTACAGATAAAAGGCCACATGGAAGAGTACATAAAATGAACTCTGGAAGGGTCCTGAGAACAGAAGCTTCCTTTTTCTCAGAACTGGAGCCTGTGGCACTCTCTCAGCTTGTAGATATGTTCAGGTCACCAACCTGGAATCTCTCCAAACCCTTTTATTTACAGTTTTTATGGAACTTCCATTTAGTGGGTATCAATGATTAAGTCATCGGCCATTGGCGATCCCCAGCCACTCTCTTTTCTCTGCAGCTTGGGAGGATAGGAGTGGAAGTTCTAACACTCTAATCACCTGGTTGGTTTCTCTGGCAACAGCCAGTTTATTTGCATAAACTGGGGTGTGGTTGAAAGGGGCTTGTTATGAATAACAAAAGCTGCTCCTTGGCTGACTCCTATTATTCTGCAAGTTATAAGGATTTTAGGAGCTTTGTACCAGGAACAGGGGATGGAAACATTCTCAGATAAATCAATGATTCAGAAGAATTTTAGGACAATAAAAATAACAGTATTTTTGCCATGCATGATTTCAAAGTTGAGTCTACTAATGATTGTTAACTTGCCACAGGTTGTGAAGGTTATAGAATTCCCTTTTTCTTTAATTTTTTTTTAAGTATTCATCACCAGTCAATATTTTCTAAGCATTTCTTCCTAAACAACTTTCATGGTTTTTATTAAACATCCCTTGTTTTCTATACTTTGCTGATATTTTTATAATGTTAATTTCTATGGGGAGGAAGTAAGAAATTCACAGATAAGTATTAATGTAGACTGGCTTGTCAATACTATTCATAAATGATACTGTCATTAACTAAAGATGTCTAGGAGGTTAAGAAGGAGGAAGTGGGGAAGGGATGCATATGAATGTCCCTTTAACTGGGCAAAGGAAGATAGAAGGAGGTGAAGAACACTATTACCAAAGACTTATTAATAACTAGATTCTTAGCTATCATAAACATGGAGTAACTCTGCAGAATTCAGATTAAGCATAAACAAAGCTATGAAATTTTGTTTTCATTTCATCTTAAAGTTACATTTTGCTTGATGTTTATTGTCAACTGCTCAAAAAGGATATCTTAGGACCAAGATGCAAAAATGGATTTCATTTCTCCCTCTCCAATAGCTCCCTACTTTTCTGCTGTTTTTATGTATATAATTTCTCCACTCCTGGTTGAAGTTGTCTACTTTTTGGTGGTTATTTCATCCTCAAAACTCTTACATGCATAATTGAATTAACATGTTTAAAGTCAAGGGCG